GCTATGGATGAATTTTCAGTTTTTTATTTATTACATATCCCTTATGCTCATTTAAGCTGTATTTTAAATTACGTTTTGTCTGACCAATCTAAATATTTCCACATTCACATTCTATTTTATATATTCCAGTTTTTTCAGTTAAATGTATTTCGTCTTTCTTACTTAAAAGTGTTTAGAACAGACTGACATTAGTGTCCAAGTAGAACACTCTTACATAAGCATCTGAGTAGAACAAATTGACACTAGTGACCAAGTAAAACAGACTTCTAACATTATTGCCTGAGTAAAACAGATTGACACTAGTACCTGAGAAGAACAGACTTCTGATATTACTACCTGAATAGAAAAGACTTCTGATATTATTGCCTGAGTAGAATAGACTTTTGAAATTATTGCCCGAGTAGAATAAACTTTTGAAATTATTGCCTGAGTAGAACAGCCCGACATTAGTGCCCACGAGTCACTATGAAAATCCTCTTTAAAATGTTTGATACACTTTGCTGGATTATATACTTTAGCATCAATTTCAGTCTTTACCAAGAAATGCCACTACAAGCCTTTTTTTTTTGTGATGAGATTATATTTAAAAAAAGAATGAACCAATCATCTCCTTCCCATAATATATAGAGGCAGGGGTGTATTTACCCCTCCCCCAATTTATTCCAACATACATAGAGCAAATATAATGTGTATAACAAATAAGAAAACACGTTCACACGTACACAACTGTTTTACGGGATGTTTTTTTCTCGTATACTAGAAGTCAACCAGATATATCCTACAATAATAGGTATTCCCTTTAACCCTACTTTTTTTATACTAATGGTACTACTGCACTAAATAATTATTTATTTTATTAAATAATGCATGAAAGAACATTATTTCATTAATCCACTTTTAAAGGAACTTGTTATTCCCCCCACCCACCTCCAAAAAGATTGCTAGATATGCTAGAATGGTCAAAATCCTTCAGATCCTTTTCAAGGTCTGCGAGTACTTTAGAGCTTCATAACTCAATGCAAAGTATTTTTGAAGCCTAATGTTGGCTCAATGTTATTTAGCACGCTAAATAAGGAATAAGGAGTTCCTTTAAAATTATACGTGAGTATAAGATGTCTTGTTTTGGTGCTGGTGTCACCTCAAAAGGAAATGTACGTATAATTGTTGTTAAAAATAATTACAAGACCTTTGCATGAGAATTTAGTATTATTTAACTCTTTTAGCATGGGTTCGGTCCCTGGGACTGACGTTGTAACCATTTTGTGGTTGTTATAGTTTTCATGCTATAACTTTTAAATTAGCAAGTTTATGTTAACGAAATTTGGTAAT